CTATCTATGGTTGGAGAGCGAGCTCCCTGAGAGTTAAGTCTGTCGTCGGAGGGTTGGAGATCCGCTTCAAGATCGCGCTCATTAGATAATACCATGGCTGTGGTTGAGACCTTCTCCGATATCGGGATATTTCCCTATTATCCTTGCTTAGATACGACTTATTCACTTTTGGCATTTCCACGTGCCTTCTAAGGTTTTCAGAAAAATTGGGCCACACAACTGAGGAAGCTGTAGGGATCTTATTTTGCCCATGCTGAGCTGGAAATTCGCAGTTTAGTAAGCAAGAATATATCGTTATTTAAAATCAGGGATATCGCAGTATTGGGTTCCCCCCCCCCGCCCCCATGAACATGCTGACAGGCAAGAACAGCTTATTAAGTAAGTGTAAAGCTCACAAGATCAGGTCATTAGAGGAAGTGGTTGCTATCATCTCTGTTCCTCCCCCCCCCAAAAAAAAAACAAGAGTGGGAAATGGTGAGTTGCCCAAAGCTTTACTGGTTAATCATAGTTGACCAAGAGTTAATAAGTTTTTCTAACCAATCACAGGTTAGCTACTTTTTCCTGATATGGGAAGGCGACATAGGAAGAAGCATAGGAAATTCCCTTTGCAGTTTTAATACCTGGTGCCTGCTGTCTCTGATTTCTTGTTATTTTAATAAAAATAAAATAAATACTGTACTCCAGTGTTGCATGCTAGGGTGCCTGGAAGCAGTACTGTTTTGTGCTGTCTGCAGAATAGTGGGGAATTCTGATGGATGAAGCCTTAAATATAGTCTGCTGCGGTTAAGTTTGCTTTTTGTTTAGATTTACATTTTCACATAAATAATAGAAGTCATATAAGAAGATTCAGAAGCAGGTTTACTATACAGTGGTGGCTCGCTTAACGAGCACTTCATTTAACGAAGAATCTGTATAGCAATGATTTTTTTTTATCGCAAAAGCGATGATTTAAATGGTAAAAAATCGCTTTGCAGTGATCTGTAAGCTGTTTTGCTTACCAATTTTCATATATCAGCGGTTCCAAAATGGCCGCCGGGTAAATAAAATGGCCGCCCGCTGTGTTTTTGCCCGGATTCCTCGCTTACCTGGCAGCGAAAATGGCCTCTGTATGGAGGATTTTCACTTTAAGGTTTTAATGCATTCCTATGGGCTCTTTTTTCCCCGCATAGCGACGAATCCGTATAGCGATGTTTTTTGCTGCACTGATTATCGTTGCTATGCGGGGCACCACTGTGGTTTATATTGCAACTTGTTGAGGCTGATGTTTCCATAGCTATTAGTGATAGCTATTACTGTTTCAACAGTATGGAAACTATACTAGGTCCCTTCAAAATATTATTCGGTAGTTATAATATTACAAAATTGCCGCTAACTGAAAACATCGCTATGCGATTTAAAAAAACCCATTGAAACGCATTGAAACCCCTTCAATGCGTTCCAATGGGGGGGAACTTACCTTTAGGCTAAAATCCTCCATATGGCAGCCATTTTCGCTGCCCGGTAAGCGAGGAATCCGTCCCAGAAAAGAGCAGGTGGCCATTTTTTTTCCGGCTGCCATTTTGGAACCGCGATCAGCTGTTGGAAAAAATCGCTGTGCGAAAATCGGTAAGCGAAACAGCTTACCGATCATCGCAAAGTGATTTTTTTAACATTCAAAACGTCATTTTGCGATTGCAAAAACCTAATCGCTATCCGGATTTGTCGTTAAACAGGGTACTCGTTAAGGAAGGCACCACTGTATAGTGATTTTCTGAGCTCTAGTTTGATTGTTTTCACCAAGTTGAAATCCCTTATACTGTATATCAGAAGTACAGTTCTAAAATACTGCTTGTTTGTGATTGGCCAGTTTCCTCATAACCACATGAACTTTTTTGTGTTTAACCCCATTTCTTGTCTTTGCTCTCCTTTCGATCATGAAAACATGAGCTGCTCCTGTTACATAATTGTTTTGACTAGATCTACCCACACTTTTTGACAAAACTTGTATTATATAACATATTTTGAACTCACTGAGTCAAGTGCTATACTGTACAAATCTACTTCATAAATATGAAACCAGACTTTATATTCAAAGTTTAAAGTCATAGTAATGTAGTGATTTAAAACATTTCTAACTTGCAATATTCTTGTACTTCTACAGAAGTGTAAAAGTCTTTTGAAAATGAATTTACAGTGGTGCCTCACTTAACGAGCACACGTTTAACGACGAATCCGCATAGCAACCCGTTTTTTGCGGTCACTAACGCGATCACATTGCGATGTTTAGATAGGCTAAACATCGCATTGCGATCATTTCTGCACCCGGCGGCCATTTTGGGAACAGCTGATTGGCGATTCCAAAATAGCCGCCGGGTGCAGAAAATGGCTGCCCGCACCATTTTCGCGCCCTACCCTCACTTACCGGGCGGCGAAAATGGCGGCCGGATCCAGGATTCTTCGCTTACCAGTGAGTTTTTCCCTAATAGGAACGCATTAAACAGAGTTTAATGCGTTCCTGTGGGTTTTCCCCGCCCGGATAGCGAAGAATTCCGATAGCGATGTTAATCCTGGAACGGATTAACTTCGCTATGCGGGGCACCACTGTATGTATAAGACATGTATAGTCTCTGACTGTACCCTAGCTTTAATAAGTGGAATTCTATGTTAAGCAATGGTCTGGAGAATTCAGCTGTAGGTTGAAAGTACAAGAAAAATTTTTATGTTTATGTAATATTTGGAGGGGGGTGGCGATTAGCTATCCTCTGGATGGATGTCTTTGACCTAAGGATAAAAATCAATTATTATTTTTAATCAGATCCATATAAATCTTGATTTCCATCACAATTTAAATCCAAAAAATACATATTTTTATTTACATTGTCAAAAAAACCTTTTTTTAATTTAAATGTCACAATTCCCATAAACCCTAATCAGTTAGCAGGTGACTGATACCTGTTGTCTGTACACCTAGAGGCTGCTAAAATACTATAGCCGACAGTAGACAGAGGCTGTAAGTTTTGGAAAAGTGAGCCCAACTTGTGTTATTAAGTAGTCTCCTGGCCATAGCTGGAAATCATTCACCTAGCAAAGATAATAACTTGCTGTTTTTGGGAGGGTCCAAGGATGGTAGCTTGCTTTAGGTTTCAGGGGCTCCCTTTTACCATTTAGCGCTGCCCCACCTCTTTTTAAAGATGCAAGTGTTTTGAGTTACTTCCAGTTTCAGGGTTTTTGGTGACAGGCATTGTAGTGTTTTGTTTGGCTCTTCATAATTCCAAAGGTAAATAGTATTAACACACTGGAAATACACTCTTTGAAACAGTAGAATTTTCTCCTGAAAAGATGTTTGCAGGATTGGGTATTAGGAAACTTAAGCATCTTTCAGTCTCAAGAGGCTATGGTAGCGTGCTCTGTATAGAGGACTTGGAACAGCATCAAGTGTGGCTGAGAAGGCCAATTAAAGAGTAACAATCCCTTCCACACTGAAGACAAATACAATCTGTCTCCTGTCCAGCTCCCTGATTTTCCTGGTTTCGGGATTGCCTCTTTGCCTCGGACCAGCTAGACAAGTATCTCTTCAAAATGGGAGAGGCCATGATGCATACCGCCTGCCTCCAGGCTGAACGCTCAGATGTGAACGTTTCCCATCTGTTGAGGTCTACAGTATTCCTAAGGCCTTCAGATCCCGCTTGCAGATACAGTATTTGGGAAATACTTTATATCATGTTTCCTCGAAAATAAGAGAGGGTCTTATATTAATTTTTGCTCCAAAAAACGCATTAGGGCTTATTTTCAGGGGATGTCTTATTTTTTTCGTGTACAACAATCTAAATTTATTCAAGTACAGTCATGTCATCATCTTCTGGTTGCTGCACAGTGGTGGAAGGTGCAGTTTCACTTAACTGGGACTTATTTTTGGGGTAGGGGTTATATTAAAGAGCATCCTGGAAAATCATACTAGGGCTTATTTTCAGGGAAACAGGGTATAAGGCCAGATTATTCATCCAACTAATTCAGTATTGCCCTACTACAGTTTTCAGGAGCTCTCTAAGATCTTAAGCAGAGTTAATTTTTATCACTTGTCACTTCATCTTCATGAAAAGTATATAGGATTATTGATGACCACAGACTAAACATATGTCCATATTTAATTTTTTATTATTTATAGAACACTCCATTAAGCCAAGCAACAATCTTGGCAGTTTACAAAGTTAAAACCTGGTACCCAAAGAAG